TGCTGTGTCTCCTTCCCACTAGACTCCAGGCTCCTTGAGGGCAAAGCATCTTATTCATTTTGTATTTCCAGAAGCTGGCATGGCGCCTAGCACAACAGGTGCCCAGTAGTTTATTATAGCAAAAATGAATCAACAGCTGAATGAATACTTGAATGAATATAAACTCTGGTTGGTGCTGGAGGGCTTGGAGTTAGTCACAAGAGCATCCTAACTAACAGATTCCAGAAGCAGGCAGGCCGAGAAGTCTGCCACCTGGAGGTCTTTAAGCAGGAGCAACATGCCATCTGCCTGGTCTGGGCTAATTTTGGTTTTGCCAGGCCTAGGAACAGGGATATAGGTCTCTGACCTCCTTGCAAGCCACAGATATTAAGTGAGGAGATGAAGAGTAGGGTCAATGGTTCTCCCTTTGGGAACTCACCCTCTTCTCCCTCATCTGTTTCTGAGGCTGCCTGTGGCAGAACAATGTTGAAATGCTCAGAACCCTTTGAAATGGGAAGTCTTGGGTGGGGTCTGTACCCACCATTGATCAGACGCTTCTGAATTTCCAAGGTGATAAAGGTTTTAGTTAGGCTACTGTATTTGAGTTTATGAAAACTCATTATCCTCATTGAATCATTATCCTTATTTTATTGAAGAGGAAAGTGAAAGTCAGAGAGGTTCAGTAACTTATCCAAGGTCACACAGTTGGTATGTAGCAGTACTAGTTTTCAAACCTAGTTTCCTTACTCTAAAGCCCATATTTTCTCTTCCAAAGCCTGGGCCCATGGCTTCTGGACTTCTGACTTTCCTCCATCCCTATCCCTCTGCCTTTACTCGCCCTCTCTTAACATTTAGTCAGAAGTTTAGAGTTCACAAAATAGTTTATTACTGGGTCTGGCATCTTGGTGTATAAACTCAACCCCAATGAGGTAACTGATGCAGTCTCTGCCCTCTAGGATGGGTTGGCAGGGGCTCCCTTACACACCAGCTATCACAGCCGCATTTCCAGTTCCCTTTCCTGGATTCCCATTCCTTCCGTCCCAGTCCATAGCCAGGGATATTTCTCTTACCTTCTTCTGCCACACAGGAAGCAACACCTCCTCTGTCTGGGCTCTGAATTATCTCGGCTTTCATCACAGCTCTCTCAATCTGAAGTCATTGCATCCTCTGAATTACGAAAACCAGAATTTTATAAGTGGTTTCTACCTCTACTGGACACCCAGGAGAGATGAAATTTTTGCTAAACATTCTCCATTTTTCTTGAACTCACAGTTTTTTAAAAATACCTTGGAGGTATTCAAGTCAAATGCACTGACCGCTGTTTTAAGACCGAAGAAACGAAGGTGGATAAGACTGACTCTGGCTCTTGAGGGTCCAGGAGTTTGTCAGAAGTTCCTCATGGCATCCATTTATTTAAATGCTTTGCCTAACCCTGAAACATACTTTTTTTTTTTTTTTGTGGTACGCGGGCCTCTCACTGTTGTGGCCTCTCGCGTTGGGGAGCACAGGCTCCGGACGCGCAGGCTCAGCGTCCATGGCTCACGGGCCCAGCCGCTCCACGGCATGTGGGATCTTCCCGGACCGGGGCACGAACTCGTGTCCCCTGCATTGGCAGGCGGACTCTCAACCACTGTGCCACCAGGGAAGCCCCCTGAAACATACTTTAGTAGTTAAATTGGATGTTTTCATATTAAGGAAACTTGACCCACTGATTAAAGATAGGGTCAGTAGTGGTCATTTGTATGTTTGTCTGCTTCTGGTAACAGCACTTTGATTTTTCTTTGAAAAATCACTGCTTCCTCATGCTAAAATCTTGCAGTTTGGGAACAGTTGACCCCACTCCTGACTCCAAACCTGGCAATGAGATCCAATTCTGGGACTTTGGTCGAAATCCCTTCTGGTAGAATCGAAGCTAGTAGGATTAACACCTGGAGTTGTGGGGCCATCTTGTCAATGCTTCCAGGAGAGTGGAGCCAATGTAGAAAGTCCAGCTGCAAGTGGGAAAGAAACCAGTCCTGACCATGTTATGAGATCTCTGTATGCAGCCAGGCCTGATATACTCATGGATTTTGCTCAGGCCAGGTATAGATGGGTTCTTTTCATTGCAGTGGAAAAAGTCCTGACTAATATTGGACCTGAGGCCCATATTCATTAAAAAAAAAAAAAAAAAGTTGCCTTGTCCCACTAGCCTCAAGGAACAGGAGTGAATTCTTCTTCCTCCTACATCTCCTGCTATACACTGACCTTTTCTTACTTCCTTTCCCCTTCCAGGCTGTCCCTGGAGTTTGGTTTAGCCTGACTTCATCAGGATAAGAGTGTATAGATGATGGAGGAAGGGGCAAGCCTCCAGACACTACTGTCCTGATGGGGCAGGTGAGGCCATGGAGGGATTCAGAAGCAAAGTCCTCAGTTTAGGGTGGCCCCAGCTGCACTGACTCCCAGGAACAGCCCTAAGGATGGTAGGTTACTAAGACTGGGTGAGGGAGTAGCAGTCCGTCAATGGGCAATTGTACAGCCTCTTGAGATGTTGTCCACCCTGCACCTTCTGACTCCTGATACTGAAATAACTGTCCTCTTTGCCTCAAAACTCCACAATACCTGGAGGTCTTGCTTCTATCCTTTTCTATCCAAGATCCCACCGTTCAGGAAATCAGCTGGGTGTGGTTTTACCCACAAGAGCAAAGGGACCTGAAATTTTGCAGGTATGCATTATCACATCTAAAGGTCACACTTTGGACAGGTCACCCTATTAGGGGATTTCTCTACATACAAGGTATTGTTTTAATGCATTAGACTAACAGGACTCTTTGGTGTATTGCAGACAGATTTGTCAGTCACTCCTTTTGTCTGTTCCTTCCCTCTGTCTTCCCTGGTTCCTGTACCTTTCTTGGCTTCTGGCCATATCCAGTTTTTGAATTACCGTTGTGAGAAGCAGGGCTTGTATTAATTATCTCCACAATATTCTTCCCCTCTGGCCTGTGCTGAGATGAAAGAAAGAATATCCTAGCTAGAAATGCCTGAGGGAGGGAAGCTGAAGAATGTTCCAACCTAGGACTAATGAGTCAGCCACACCCACCAGGCTCCTGTGTCCCCTCTGGGAGCCCTTTCCAATCAGACAGGGAACCAGTGCCTTTCTGTCTTCAGCTCGATTGTGGCCCAGTCCACAGGTGCCTCCCCAAGTCTGGATGCTACCTTGGCTGGGGTCCTTCTGTATTTCAACTGCTCTCCCAGTGGCCACCACCCTCGTGGACTCCAAACAATTGGCTGCCCCCTGCATTACCCGCTGCTGTGCCCTATCAGGCTGATTAGATACCCAGCACCATCTACTTTCACATTAGCACAGAGACACTTGTTCTTTTGGACTCTAGTCCTAGCCTGCCCGAGGTTTTCTCCAGCCCTAGTCTGTGCAGCAGCATCTGCATTGCTGTCTCAATCCGGTTCCATCTGGTCGTTTCCTCTCCTACAAGGTCCCAGTCGCTTTGAACTAGATCAGTATCACAGAAAGCAGTAAGGTGAAGGAGGAAAAGGCTCTGCGCCCCCTCTGCAGGGCAGGTGCCTTTGTTCTGGCTGTGGTGGTGGGAAGTGGTGGAAGGTTCATTCATGCTCACTTGTCCCATCCTTGACTGACCAGCAGCACAGAACAGCCTGGGTGGCCTGGACTCTGAGAACCATCTATAGCCTGGACCCTGAGCCCTGATCTCATTAGCCTAATGGTCTAGCTAAGCTCAGCTCCTTTGCTCATTCAAAATAGCTTTAGCGTCAAGTATGTGACTAGTTTTGTTGTAGCTGCAGGAAGAGTTATGAAAAGGCTATGGTGGGGGGCTTCCCTGGTGGCGCGGTGGTTGAGAGTCTGCCTGCTAATGCAGGGGACACGGGTTCGAGCCCTGGTCTGGGAGGATCCTACATGCCGTGGAGCAACTAGGCCTGTGAGCCACAACTACTGAGCCTGTGCGTCTGGAGCCTGTGCTCCGCAACAAGAGAGGCCGCCGTAGTGAGGGGCCCGCGCACCGTGATGAAGAGTGGCCCCCGTTCGCCGCACCTAGAGAAAGCCCTCGCACAGAAAAGAAGACGCAACACAGCAAAAATAAATAAATTAATTAATAAACTCCTACCCCCAACATCTTCTTTAAAAGAAAAACAAAAAAAAGGCTATAGTGTAGCTGGCTGTAAAAACTTACACCCATGAAAATTACCCAACAGCATAATAAAATGAGATGTGAATGACAAAGAATGTCCCAGAATATGGTCTGTGATTTGTCGTTGCTTGAATCAGAAGGGAAGTGCTGTGGGTGTTCCGAGGACGGCAAGATGCCTGGCACTGGGATTGTCAGGAAAAGTCTGTCTGGATTGATGCAGGTCTTGAAGTTTTGAAGGATCTGGACCAGGTGGGTCTGACCTTCCAGGGAGTGGCTGGAACTCAGGGAGGCCCAGACTTCGGGGAGCAATCCCTCTGAAGAATATCAGAGTTGAGGTCCGTCTAATTGAAGCCAAGGATTCTTGTCAGGGGCAGTGGAAGATGAGGAGAGAATGTGACCCTTCTTTCTCTAACTTTGGGGAAAATTAAGAACTCAGCTGTCAAAATAAGTAACATTTATTGCTGAAGTCTTTTGCACAGATTAATTCATTTAATCCCTAAAACAATGCTATGCAATCGGCATTTAGGTTATCCCGGGTTTCTAAAGATAAGGAAGCTGAGGCGCAGAGACTTTAAGGCCCCAGAGCTCTGTCAGTATTTGAACCTGTGTGTCCTCAGAATACTTGCTTTTCTTACCCTGTCATGCTGCCTACCCCACCCCACCCCTGGCCCTCCTTCCTGTGGGTCCTGGTGACTCATACTCCTTCTTGGCAGACATCGTGGTTTCTGATAACTCAGTAAATGAAGTCATCTTGATGTTGCTGCGCCCACTGGCCCCGTGTCCGCGGGCTCCTCGGGGCTCTTGGCTGCTGGAGCAGGAACTCTGTAGCTAATATTGCCTGTTTTGTTTGTTTGTTTGTTCATTTGTTTTGGTTTTTGGTTTTAGTTTCTTCTTTAAAAGAACATGGACCAGGTTCCCCAAGGGCTGAGCCAGGGCCATTTAAGTGATGTGCTCAGTTATCTAAAAAAGCCTTTCTTCTACATCAAGAACAGGAGTTGTCATTTCAGGTGAGTTTCTTGCCTTTCCGGAGCTCCCCATATGCTCACAGTACTTGGAACAGGTTTTATCGTCCCTTTTCGTTTGAAGCCTTAAGCCTGATGTGCCAGAAGCCTGCTCATTATCCCAAAGCCCTTTACCTTCTTCTCAGTGCCCCTCTCCTGGCCCTTGTAAACATGGTGTATTGGTTGTCTCCCAGAATTCCCAGGGTGCGGTTGCAGTTAGGTGCACTCTGTGCGTCTTGTGGAGGGATGTGGAGGGAAGTAACAGCGAGGAAAGCAGAAGGGGGCTAATGCATACTGAGTGACTTCCATGGCCTAGGCACAGTGCCTTATATGTATTTTAAAGTTGAATCACAGTATTACGATATCAGTACTATGGGCCTCATTTGGCAGTTGAGGAAACTGACACTCAGACAGGTTGCAGTAACCTTCCAGTCAAGGGCAGAGCCAGGATTCTCTTGGTTCTGAAATTGTTTTTCCCTCTACGTCAGACCTCATCCAGCTTGAACTTTATCCTTTAGGCCATGAGGAATCATGGTGCCAAGCAGGAAACCAAGAGGCTACAGGAGTATTTTAGGAAGATTGATTCGACAGCAGTGAGTGGGATGGATGGGAGAAAAGCGAGGCCAAAGCTGTGAGGACCAGTTAGGAGGTTCCTGCCACGATGTCACCTTGAGACACCTCCAGGAGGACAGCAGAAGCAGAAAGGACATTGAGAAGGAGAGGTCAGTAGATCTCCACAGAAGAGAGGACCCAGATATGATGAGGAACCCCTTCCTTCTTTCTGATCATTTAGGGTCTCACTGGCTTTGGTGGCCTGTGCCAGGAGAGAGACCCAGTTGTCATTTCTGCTCAGGTCAGTTCATCCAGGAGCAGAGGCCATGTGTGGTGAGAAGGTACCTTGCTGTGCTCCTTGGCAGGGCTGGGCTAGGCCTAGACCTTTGAAAGATCTGTTTATCCAGCCCAGGAGACTGCATCTGTGTGCTCAATAAACTGTAATTGACAGTGGTGAGCTCAGAAGTGTCTCTGAAATAGACTGAGCAACACTGATTATGAGCAACTCACCTCCTCAGCTAGGGGACGCAAATGGGTCTAATGACTCCTCCTTTTCGGATGGGGAAACTGAGGCTCAGAGGTTGTGCCACTTTCCCAGGGTCGCCAGGAGAGCCAGAGGGCAGAGTTCCAATTCAGATGCATTGACCTGGAGTTCTGCTGCTTTCCCGGCTCCTCTCTCTGTGGTGCCCAACAAACAGGGGAAATTAGTGCTAAGCTTTCACACGAGTGTGGCAGTTTACAAACCTGCGTCCCATTCATTATCTCATTTGATCCTCACAGCAACTGGGTATTATTATTATACTCATTACAGAGGAAGAAACTGAGGCTCAAAGAATTGAAGGCTATGGTCATTCCACTGTGAGTGACAGAGCTGGAATTCAAAAGGAAGTTTTCTGACTTGAAGTCCACAGCTCTGTCCCGGAGCCATGAGAATGAGGAAACAAATGAAAACCAGGGCAGCAAAGAGGAGAAATGGAAGAGTCAGGGAGGCGGTGAACACAGCTTAGATGGTGCTGGAGGCCTTCAGGTTCAACATAATAAAAGCTTCTGGGCGGCAAAGATTATTCACTATAGGTGCGAGCTACCTGGGGAAATCAGTCTATCTGCTGAAGAAATGACCTCTAAAAAGTCTCCCCCTTCCTACCCACAGATCTCGTGAAGAGAAAGAAGCCAGAGAAAGAGGAAAAATGCACGGCAGCTTTTGTCTGTTAGGTGTCCAGTAAATTAGGTTGAGTGGATGGATGGATGGATGAGACTTAGGGAAACTGCACATCCAGTCACCGCATGGTCCTTCTTACAAGTCCTGAACAACTCTCCCGGCTCCCCGGTCCTTTAACCCATCCACAAGATCTCACGTTATAAACGACGACGTTCCCAGCCAAGGAGGAAGAAATAAGTGTGGCACTAGAGAGAAACTGGGAAGTAACTTGCTCTGTCGCAGAAAGGTGGAAAAATGGATGGAATGGAATCCCGTCCTCCCTGCCCGCCCCCGCCCCCCGCCCCATACCTCTTCTCATTTGCTGAAGCCCTGCTCTGAACTCAGTCAGGATTTCTTCCCACCCGGCCTCCCGTGGGGTGGTCAATATGGCATTTGTGGTTGGGCTTAGAAAGGTAAAGTACCTACAAAGGCCCAAGGAGCCAAGAATTCTGCTGGCTCAGGCTCTCTTTCCTCTTGTTCTTTGCCCACCTGTCAAAGGAACTCTGCAGTGGGGCCCCTCTCAAGCCAGGGAGGGGAAAGGCCAAAGAAAGTGTTGGAGATGGTCCATATAGGGCCGTGGCTTTGCTTACTGCTCAGGCTCAACCACCACTTAGCAGCTGAACCAATAACTCTGGCCTGAAGGCTGCATTGTGGTTTCATCATAGAGAACTCATGGGCCTGTGTATCCCGACCCTGGGTTCCGGTTCTAGCTGTCACTGAGTATGCCCAGTATATAACACGACATCTGTAGGTAATAGGTGCTCACTAAATATCTGATGGAGTGAGTGAATGAATGAAATAATTAGCTGTGACCTTGGACAGATTACTTCTCCCTCTGGATCTTGATTTCTACATCTGCAAAAGGGGCATTATAATGCTGGCCCTACCTCTCACTCCAAGCCATCCCCCAGACCTCAGGAGGAAATGAATGGATGGATGTTTATGCACAGTAAGGTCTGGGCACACACCAGTAGCTGACATTTGAGCCACTTCCCCTCAGGTCACATTACTGCTTGCTCTGTGGTTAGGATGGGCCCTATCCTTAGGCTCCTGAAAGTCCTAACCCATGGCAGAGTCCTAATTTTTTTTTTTAATTACTTGATTTATTTATTTTTGGCTGCACTGGGTCTTCGTTGCTGCACGCGGGCTTTCTCTAGTTGTGGAGGGCGGGGGTACTCTTCGTTGCAGTGCGTGGGCTTCTCGTTGCGGTGGCTTCTCTTGTTGCGGAGCGCGGGCTCTAGGCGTGCGGGCTCAGTAGTTGTGGCTCGTGAGCTCTAGAGCGCAGGCTCGGTAGTTGTGGCGCATGGGCTTAGTTGCTCCGCGGCATGTGGGATCTTCTCAGACCAGGGCTCGAACCTGTGTCTCCTGCATTAGCAGGCGGACTGGCAGAGTCCTAATTTGCCTGGTCACCTGGGCACCTGGTCGCTCCCCTCCAAATTAACCTGCAGTTTCTTTCTCTCCTGAAGAGCTTACCCACCTCTGGGGAGAACGCTTCAATGTACTTGAAGCCCTCCTCCCCGCCCTCACTCAGCCCAGGACTTGGTGCCGGTAAGGAAAGGAAACAGCTCACTTATAAACTCATTCCAGCTGAGCCTCTTATGGAAACACTGACAGACCCTTCAAGCCTAGATGCCAGCTCCTGAGGCGCCTTTGTAAAACCCCGCCTCTGAGCTAAATATAGTCACGGGAGGCAAGGTGGTGCTGGTTTGGGAGGTGGGGAGGGACTAAGGAGAGGGGGCAATGAAGCCTGGAGGAGAGTGGGAGGAGGGAAGAAAGGAGGGAGAAAGAAGAGGCAGCCGGGGTCTGAGGGAGAGAGAGAGAGCAGGGGAGAGGCAGAGAAGAAATGGAAGAAATGGGGAGAAAATACGAAGAGATGCAGAAAAGAGTTGCAGGGAAAGAGATGAGAAAGAGAGCTGGAGAGATAGAGATCAATCAGCCCCTGGGAACGACAGTAAATCTCAGCAGTCCTGACTGGTGAAACGTGCTAGCTTGGTGGAGGGAGCACAGGGGGAACAACAGAGGTCGCCTGGGATAGGGATAGGTTGGGGTGGCCCAGGTTTGGGTTCTGGCCACTGCTGAAAGCCCTTGCTAATTGATTATCTGCTGCGGTGATGACTAGCACAGAGACAGTGCGCTTCTCCAGATCCCTGCCTGCCTCCCCACATCTTCATTAGGAGCCAGACCTGACATTACCTTACCCCCAAGGCAGCAGTTAAGGGGCCTAGGGTCCCAGCCAGTCTGCCTTTGGCCTTGGGTGGGGGTAGGGTGGTAATGACGGTGGTGGTGTGCCCTTCAGGATGGCCTGTCCCGAGTGAGGGTAAGATTAAGACATAGTATAGTGAAAGAGTGCAGCCTCAGAAATCTTCTTCCTTAGCTTCAAACCCCTCCCTGTGGAGGCCATGGACGTAACAGGCAGGTGGAAGAAATGACCTGGCAGCACTGATGTGGAAATGAGTCGGGGCAGAGCAGCTGAGCTGAAGCCAACTGTGAGCTGGCTGAACTGGTGGGTTGTGGAGAGCCCAATGTGGGGGTGGTTCTGTGGGGAGGGAAGGGGGTGCTGAGGCACATGGGAGGAGAAGAAGGAACTGGAAGACTGTCAGAGGGGTTTGGAGAGTCCACTGCATTTTGGTCTAAAACCTAAAACTGCGTGAGCATCATATGCAGCTAGGTTTGCTTTCACAGCAAGTGCTCTGGCCCCTTGGGGTGTGGGGTAGGCTCTGACCATGGCCGCTGGCTCTGTGGGGTGAGAGGTGAGTGGAGATCTGGAGGGAGGGTGGGTGTGTCTGCTGCTCTGAGGCTGCTCTGTAACCAGTTTGGGGCGGTGGTGAAGGGTGGGCATATCCAAAGCCTCAGGGAAGCAGGAGACTGGTGCATTTCTCTTCCTCATCCCATTCCCTTTCTCTCACAGATTCTGGGAGGGAGTACTGGGCAAGGAAAGAGGGGAAAGTGGCTTGTTCTCTCACTGGTGTGTGAGCACAGGAGGAGATAGATAAATTAGCCTTGTCACCCTTTTCCCAGGCTCCACAGAGCAGAACGGTTCCTGTCCCCCGAGGGAAGATCAGCCATTATTTATGAGCTCCTCTGAAGGGGGCACTGCGGGCATATCCATCTTTGCTCCCCTCCCCCTAGCCGGGGAAGGGGGAGGGGAGGAGCTGGTGCTGCCTGCAGGCTCCTGCTTTCTTTTTTTTCCTGTTTTAAAATTAATTTATTTATTTTTGGCTGCATTGGGTCTTCGTTGCTGTGCGCGGGCTTTCTCTAGTTGCGGAGAGCTTCGTTGCAGTGCGCGGGCTTCTCATTGCGGTGGCTTCTCATTGAGGAGCACGGACTCTAGAACACAAGCTCAGTAGTTGTGGCACATGGGCTCAGTAGTTGTGGCACACGGGCTTAGTTGCTCCGTGGTGTGTAGGTAGGATCTTCCGGGAGCAGGGCTCAAACATGTGTCCCCTGCACTGGCAGGCAGATTCTTAACCAACCTCTGCGCCACCAGGGGAGCCCCAGGCTCCTGCTTTCTTAAAGGCACAGGAGACCCTTGCTGGAGAGACTGGGTCCGGCCCACACTTGAACCCGGGGCATCTTCCAGTTAAAACAGAGAGGTGCAACTGAGACCTACTGCAGGAGAAGCCGCTGATGGCACAGGATAAGAGACACCCGTGTGAGTGGTGCAGGGAGCGTGGGGGTTTTCTACACCTGGCATCCTCAGGAGCAGCTTCCCTGGGTACTGCTGGCTTTGGCCCCAAACACAGCCAGCAGGATAGACAGAAGTTCAGTGGACCGACTGACACGAACCGAAGATTAAAGGCTGGGAATCTGGGGAATGGGTAGAGGCCTAGGTACAATCGGAGGATGGAAATAAAAATTTTCAAATCCTAAGTTTGGTGGTCAGGAAACAGCTCAAACCACATGATAGCCTGGCCTTTCTCCTTGTTGGTGAGGGTCCAAGGCCCCCAAAAAAGGAGCCCAGGCAGAAAAGGGAGAGAATGAGGGGCTAAGGGAAAGTAAGAACGCAGTGGTTAAAGGAGCTGGAATGGGAAAGGAAGGGAGGAGAGAGAATAAAGCAATGGCTGAATTAGGAACTTAGGTGGGCCAGGGATCTACAGCAGGGTGAGGAGAAGCAAGACGTGAGGTTGGAGAACCTGGAGACAGGCTAAGGGAAGAGGCGGAGGGTGAGAGTGACAGAGCTACTGCAAGGCAGGCAGAGGGACAGACAGAAAGTCAGGAACGCTGGGGAAGAGGAAAGGAGGAGGCAGGTGTGGGGGAGAGAGATGGGGGGTGTGGAGAAAGAGGCCTGTGAGCTCTGAGGAGTGGGCCGCCTCAGGCCCCAGGGAAGAAGGTAGGTGGGAGGACAGGGGAGGGAGGGCAGTGAGCCAGCAAGGGAGAGGTTGCTGCTTTTTTCCATCTCTTTCATTTCAATCGCTATCAATAATACATTCCTAAGGAGCCGCCTTTGACAGCAATTAAAAAAGCATTTATGCTTCCAGAGAGAAATCGAAATGATTTCCTCCCACCTCCCTACGCTCTCTGGGCAACGGTCCCTAGCGATGATCTTCCCGGTGGTGTGCTGTCCAAACCTGGGACTCACTAGGGAAGGGATGGACAGGGGCCAGGGAGGATCCTCCACCCCCTTCCCAGGGGTGGCATATCTGAACGCTTTACACTGGGCTCTGGGTGTGGGGGTGGTGTGGGAGATGGGGTGGGGTGCAGAAGCGGGGATTTTAAATATGGTACCTTTGGAAAACCTTTCCTGATTACCAAACCTCAGAGAGCGGCACAGGGAGGCTGGCTGCCTCTTCACCCTGACAGCTGGAGGTGACACCTGTCTTCGCTAAGGTACCAAGAATCCAGGAGGCTGCACCGTGAGGAGTAATTTCCAGAGCTGATTTCAGTTCAGTAGGCGCTTTTTTTTTTTGCTGTACGCGGCCTCACTGTTGTGGCCTCTCCTGTTGCGGAGCCCAGGCTCCGGACAAGCAGGCTCAGCGGCCATGGCTCATGGGCCCAGCCGCTCAGCGGCATGTGGGATTTTCCCAGACCGGGGCAGGAACCTGCATCCCCTGCATCGGCAGGTGGACACTCAACCACTGCGCCACCAGGGAAGCCCAGTTCAGTAGACTTTTACCAAGCTTCTACTGTGTGCCAGGACCTCTGACAGGTGGTGAGGTGTTTCAGAAAGAGTAAGAGGGTCTTGGTCCTCTAGGAACTTATTGTCTGATGGGCAAAGAGACATATTGAACTACACAAAGAACTGTGGTACTAGGCAGATGGCGCAGCAGGCACTGGGAGCATGACAAAGTCATACAGGAGGGGGATAGAGAAGGCGAGAAGGACAAGTCGATGGGAGAAGCTCTTTCTCAGGATGGGGAATGGGGCGGGAGGGGGGCAGGGATGATCACTGCTCCATCGCCTCCTTACCCCCGTGAGCCAGGCTTTGTGCCTGGCACTTTATATACATTACCTTTTACTTGACCCCTCATAGCTACCCTACAAGGAAGCAAATATTTTAACAGACTAGGGAACCAAGGATCAGTGAGGTCATATAGCTTGCTGGAGGTCACCCAGCTGGTTAGTGACAGAGCCAGGATGAAAGATAGCAGTCTTTTCCTCACCATTCTGTTCTGTTTCCCATTGGGAATGTTTAATTCCAGAGCCTGCCACTCAGCAATTTCATGTCTAGGAATTTATCCTACAGATGTCCTTGCACGTGAGCACAATGACCTTGTATACAAAGTTGCTCACTGTAACATCCTTTTTCATAGCAAAGGATTGGAAACGACCTAGTGTCCATCATAGGGGACTGGTTAAATGGATTTGTAGACAATGGAATACCCTGCAATCATCAAGAGAAGTGGAGAGGTACTTCCCTGGTGGTGCAGTGGTTAAGAATCCACCTGCCAATGCAGGGAACACGGGTTCGATCCCTGTTCTAGGAAGATCCCACATGCCGCAGAGCAACAAAGCCCGTGTGCCACTACTGAAGCCCGCATGCCTAGAGCCCGTGCTCCGCAACAAGAGAAGCCACTGCAATGAGAAACCCGCATGCTGCAATGAAGACCCAATGCAACCAAAAATAAATAAATAAAATTGATTCTTAAAAAAAAATAATAAAGAAGTGGAGAACACTTTATGTATGGATATGGAATAATTACAGGAACACATTGTTTAGTAAAAAAATACAAGCACAGAGCAATGTGTTTAATATATGATCATTTCTTTTAAAAGGGGGGAAAGAATATTTATACATAATTACTTCTTTTGCACAATGTATCCATGGAAGGAGGTATAGAAAACAGGTAACAGTAGTTGCTTCTGGGAAGAGTAACTACATGTTTGGGGATCAAGAGTGGAGGAAGACTTTTCATGGTATGTTCTTTTGTAACATGAGTTTTGGGCTTTTTGAATATATGACCTATTACAAATAAAGAAATAGAATTAAAAACAAATGTCCTGGCCTAGGCGAGGTGCAGTCTTAATGAGCAGGAAGGTGGAGATGACAGTTTAGGGCAGCAGTGGAGAGGTTGTTGATATTGGCTTTAGAAAAACCTGGATTTGGATCTGCACACTGACGCAGCTCCAGGTCTTCAGACAAGTTACTTCACCTCATTGAATCCCAGTTGACACATGTAACTAGGGACTCTCCCTCCTCGTGGGGAAGACGGGTGACGGTGCAGGCAGGCACTTAGAGTACCTCTCTGTGCTGAATCTCAGAAAGTGGCAGCTGTGCCACCATGGGCCCTGGAAAAAACAAAGAGAAGGAGAGCTTGGGTGCTGTTCATGTCTGGTCAGGAGTAGGAACGCCTCACTGCTTCTTGATGCCTCACTGGTTCAGAGCATCCCTGAGCATACCTGTGCCGCTTGAAAACCTGGCGTCCTCTGAGTTGCCGGGGCAGGAGGAAGTATGGAATTCATCACGCTGGCTGTGCTGGCTCAGTAGCAGCGCCCTCTTGCCTGGGCAGAGCTGGCCTCCACCGGGAACTGCTGGGCCCCACCAAAAGTCTCCATCTGGCCAGAAACCCTGAGGGCAACCCCAGCCTTGCTCCAACTTGAAGGCTATGTCTATCTTCTTTTCTGCAAGGAGCTTTCAGTTGTCTTCAAAGACTTTCTCTCCAGACCAAAGGCGATGACTTTCTGGAGGTTGCACTTTGTGTGACCCCCACATCAGGTGGGGAGAGAGGCAGAGGGCTGCCAGGTGACCTGGCAGGCTGGAGTCAGAAGATATCTGTCCAAACTGTGAGCTCCAGGTCCTTCACTCCAACTCCCTTAGCCTCAGTTTTCTCATCTGTAGAATGGAGATGCACCTGTGATGATCAAATATACAGTAAAAGCACTGTGTTAGCAGGAAATCTGCCTGAAGCACACTTTCTTTTTCTTAGGATGGTTGTGTTACAAACAGTTGTGGAGACTGAAATGGGCCTCAAGTCAAGTCAAACCAAAACAGGATCCTCCAGGGGTTTCAAAGGAACATGATGAGGCTGTGCTAGTTCTGCTCCTGCTGCTTGGGAGGGACCTATGGGTGGGCAGGTGAGCACTGGGTAGGGAAGAGAGGCTGAGTGGGCTAGCTGCAGAGACTTTTCTGGGGTTTTTCTCCACTCATTCAACAATCAGGAATGGGTATCCCTTTATTGGTTCTATTGGGAGATTCTAAGAAAAGATAAGACATGGGTGGCCCCATCCTTGAGAAACCCTCAGGCAAATGTGGGGGCAGAGATCATTCAGTCATTCAACAAACACTTATGGAGCCACTTGTGAAAATGGTTGTGAAAGATGCACAGAATGGATCAGCCATGGTCCCTGCTTTCTAGAAGCTTATAGTGTACCAGGGAAGATCATTCATGGCACATAAGGCTGTATTTTCATAAGAGAAATTACCACTGTGCCAACTAATTTTGTGAGAACTGAACGAACATGGGGCATGAGTGCTCAAGGCCAGGGAGGCTCAACTAAGAAAGGCTTCCTGAGGAGGCTGGAGCTAGGTTAGTGGGACCAGAACCAAGAGGCCACACTGAGGGGAGGGGGGGTGTCCCTTCAGGAGAGTGATGTGTGACGAGCTAAGAGGGCTGCTGGTAGGTGGACTGAGGCCCTGGGGCAGTATGGGCCCCTCTCCAAAGCTCCCATCTGCCATGCAGCTGTATTGCTGCCTTGCTCTGTAGGGGGGAATAAACTGCTTATTATTTTCCCCTCAGCCTCACCCAGGCAGCTCACCCTGCTAAACACCAGAGTGAAAGGGACCTGTAAACGTCTGGCAGGGGCTCACATCAGATCTGGCCACTGGAGTGGCAGGGCCTGGTTGGCTCCTGGCTCATGCTGACCTCAGTCTAGCCAGAGGCACCAGGCACCTGGGTCACCTGCTTTGTGTCTGAGTTGAAACCTGCCCATGTTGGGGATGGCGACTCTGCCTCTGTCTGCTGGGTCTCTCTGTCCAGCTGGCCTGGTGGATTCACATAAATATTGATTGTCTGCTCAGCCATCTGGGAAGGGAGAGAGAGAGAGAGGGAGAGAGAGAGCGCGAAGCCGGGCAGTGGGGAGAGCCCTATCAGGCAGCCCTGGATGGATAGAGTGCTCACACTGAAGGCTGACCAAGGCCCTCTTTGGCCTTCTCCCCGTAGGAGAGGCAGGAATCCTAGGGTGGAGAACACCCTGGAGGTTGGTACACACCAAATTCAGAAGAGTGCTAACCTCGAGCACTCATGACGAGGAGCATGCCAGCAGAGAGACCAAGGGGGTCTACGGTGGTATTCGTGGTGGTTTATTTCTTAAGCGAAGAAGGGCTACACGCCTGTTCCTGATCTTGTTCTTTGTATCCTTCTCTATGTCTGAATAGTTCATAATACATTTTGTTTAGTGACATTGAGAGTTCACTGACTCCTTCCTCAAGCCTGTAGGCAAGACTTCAGCAATGTACTGGAAATTGGTGATGTTCTAGCCTAAGTTTAAAGCTTTGAAGAAGGAATTCCCAAGACCCCAACACAACCCAGGCGGCATCCTGCTACCTGCTCTTCCTCCAGCTTTGTCGGGGACGTTGTTCCTTCTCTGGGCTCTGGGCAGCAACCCTATAGCATTCCTGAAGTCCCCCAGTCAGACTGTAAACTCTGTGGGGGCAGAGACCCCTCCTGTGATGGCGCTGGGCACACAGCAGGCACCTAATCAGTGTTAGTTGAAACGCTGGGGAAAAATCAGCCCAGGTGAGGGTGCTTTCATAGCTGGGGAAGCGTGACACAAAGGTCACAAGCTTTGGGGTCAGACCTGGATTTGAACCTGAGCCCTGACACATATCAGCTGTGTGACAGGGGGGTGTCACTTCACCTCTCTACTCTGGGGTTCCCTGATCTGTAAAAAGGCAATAATGATAGTGCCTACCTCATGGGGCATTGCATGGGTAAATGATCTGATGTACAGAATGCAGCTGGTCCATAATTGGTGCTAAAATCCTAAAGTCCCCAGCCCCCATCCTGAGCAGTTCAATTCCCGGGAAGCTTCTTGAAGCTCCTGATGGAGATGTTCTTATATCTTTGTCCTTGTCTTAGTCTGTTTCTGTGTCGTCTCGTTTCTGATTCTGTCATAGCTCTTTTTTTTTTTTTTTTTCAGTTTTTCTTTCTCCCCTTTCTGTTTCTCTCATTACCTTTCCCCCAACCCACTTTCTTAATTATCTTCCTCTCCACCCCCTCCCTCCCTTCTTCTTTCCCTCCTTCTTTCTCCTGATTCCTACCCTCCAGGGCCTCTGTGTGACTGTACTTCTCACCTTGCTGGCTCTGTTTCACATTCCTCTATTCAAGGCATAGGATGACCCTCCTTAGTGCATTCAAGGAAATGAGCGAAAAGAAACCAGACAGGTAGCTGCTGTCCACGGAGGCCATGTTTGATAATCAGTCATTTCTGGGAACAGCTCTTAACTCTTGGAACCCAAATGGCTCCTATCCCATGGTTATTGCTCCTACTTCCCAAGGGCCCCAGTCTCCATCAGGGTCCTCTGCAAACCAACAGCAAGGCCTTGAAAATCGTGTCATCCAGGCAATGGACTCCTTCTCTGAGTCCACTCCCAGGTCCGGATTCTGCAGGACCCTGGAGGGAGGGGACGTTGTTTGGAGGATTAGGAAGCTCTCATCTAATGGGAGAGTCAGCACTCTCATGAGTCAGACCTGACACAAGCTCAGAAAACAAGCAATAAATAGAAAGCAATTTTCTTCCTGAGCACTGAAGAGCCGTGCCATTTAGAACAAAACAGATTTAATCAGAGAAGACTTCTTGGAGGAGGTGAGTATACAGCAGGGATTGAAAAGAGGACTGGGGGGAGGGCGCGGACACCAAGATAGAGAATAATGGCCCAGGTCCTCTCAGAGGGCAGGTGAGGGTACCCAGGTTGTGTTGCGTTCAGGAACTGTGCATTTAGTTTCACAGGTTGGAGCCAAGAACCATCATAATGAAATTAGATTGGTAGGGAAGGGACAGCAGGAAGACAGGTTTCCCCAGAGCAACTGGGTCAAATCCAAGGATGTCAGACTGTCAGTCTCTGGGACATGCAGATTCTTGGGCTGCTGGTGCCACTCCCCTCCTGGAAAAAATGCAAATGGTGCAGTTACTCCCCTAGCCCTGAGCCCCCTAGACTGCTTTTTGGGAGAAGCCCACCCTGCAGGAGGGAGAGGCAAGGTGAGGTGGGGTAGAAGGTGAGTGATTTCATTTGACTTTCTCGTATGTGGGGGTGGGGGGGGGGAGGGTACATCAGGATCTTAAAGTATGCATCTCTGCTTTTATGAGTCTATGTGTGAACTAAGATCCCACATGCCACACGGCGTGGCCAAAAAGAAAAAAAAAAGTTAAAAATTAAATTGTACCTGAAAAAGACATGTTTTTGTAAATCTGTGTAAATGGGAGCGTATGTGTATGTATGTACATGAGACCCAGGGCCATACCCCGACTGTTTTTTTAAAATTAATTAATTAATTTTTATTTGTTTATTTTTGGCTGCATTGGGTCTTCGTTGCTACGTGTGGGCTTTTCTCTAGTTGCCGTGAGCTGGGTCTTCTCTTTTGTTGCGGTGCGCAGGCTTCTCATTGCAGTGGCTTCTCTTGCTGCGGAGCACGGGCTCTAGGCGCGTGGGCTTCAGCAGTTGTGGTTTGCGGGCTCTCGAGCACAGGCTCAGTAGTTGTGGCGCACAGGCTTAGTTGCTCCGTGGCATGTGGGAACTTCACGGAACAGGGCTTGAACCCGTGTCCCCTGCATTGGCAGGCGGATTCTTCATCACTGTGCCACCAGGGAAGTCCCGCCCCGACTGTTATTATTAACAAACCCTCTTGGTCCTTCTGAGGTGTTTCTCTTCTGTGGCCTGAGGGCCCATCTAGCTCTCCTGCTGATCAGGGGATGGGATCTGGGACCTTGGATTTGGCTGGGCTCAGCTGCATCGTTTTGCACTGTGATGCTGCAAATTGGCTGCGGAGAGGCCCGGGCCCAGATGGAATCAAATGGGGAGAAACTCTGCTTTCCTCTCTGATGAGGCTGGTAACAGCCCAGCCTGCAGGGAGGAGGGCCAGAAGGATGGGTAGTTTTTAGGAACTGATTCACCAAAGCTCACCCAACATATGTTTTAATGAGGTTCTTTTTTGCTGGGTTCTGTGGGGATAGTTGTGACAGAGCAGGGGATTCCTTACATCCAAACTTTCCCTGGCTTTCTCCTGAATTTTTCCTTTTCCAGGGAAGCTCAGCAGCTAAAACTGGAATCACCAGGTTGGCACCTTCCCACCTTCTTACCATTCTTCTCTCCTTGTCCCTCCTCCCTCCTACTTCAGCAGCCCAGGCTGGGCCGGGCAGAACAGAGTGGGCCCTCAGCCCCTTGCAGCACTTTGGAACGGGCGCGGATGGGCCAGCCTGTGGCAAGCTTGGCCAGCACACACCAGCATCCAAGTCTTCCCCTCTGACTGTCAGAGAAGCCTTGGTTGCCTCGGATGAGAATAATCTGGGCAAGCTTCTGGCCCTTTGCCCTCACGTAGCCCTTGGTTCTCTGCAGGTAGCCGTCTCAGAAAGCAGGGATCAGACTGGAAATTTCCAGGGCAGAGGCCATATGTCCCCAGCATGGAGCCCCTTAAGGGCTCCTTACCTTTTCCCTATATCCTGCCTTCTGGGCATGTAGGGTGCCCAGTGGGGTGGGGGTGGGGATGGGGGTTGAGCATGGTTTTGACTGATTGGGAAACTTGCCTCCTGCTGGGAGTCCTGGGCTGGCAGGAAGGTGGTGAGAGCATGGAGCAAATTCATCAGCTTCTTCTTCCAAAAACCTCCAAAGAAACCTCCAAAGCACTTTATGAAGATCTATATGTCCTCTTACGACGTCTGGGAAACCAGAGGACAAAATCACTACTTTTCTCTATCAGAGTAGGGAACCCCTGAGAAACCTAGCATTTTAGCCAGACAGACACATCTGGGAGTAACAAAGTCAGAGTTCAAATGCAGAGCCCTTCTGTCTCCAGTCCTCAGCTTGGCCCCCGTACCCCTATCTGGTGGGATTTTAAATAAGTTGGAAGATTAGCTCATTGGCATCAATAAGAGCTATTGAAACAGCTCACCAGCCCTCGGTGGTTTTATGCAGTCACTCCACTCACTTGCTCCTGATAATGGATCATTCTGTCTGGCTGTATAGTGAGACTGGTCAGACGAGGGGCTGCGTGCATACAGAAGAGAACCACTGGTCTGACTGAAGGCAAGTTTCCAAACACCATAAAGGGAGATGAAGAAATAGAATAAAAGAAGAGGGGAGTGAGGCTGAGAGGCAGGCAAGGAATGCTGTGGAAGGGCCTGTCTGCAAGGCTGACCTGGGGGCTGCAGGGGGAAGGCCGCTGAGCCTAAGGATGGACAGATCACTTCCTGCTGAGACCAAGAGCCAGATACTAAAGCAAGCTGGCCAGAGCAGCAGGCTGACAGAGGAGGGCCCTTCACGGAGAGATGGATGGGGCCAATGCAAGGCAGAAACTAAGACTTGGCTGAAAAGGGCAAGGAGGGCTGGTAGGGAAGGGACCAAGTTGTCCTTGGTCACCCCGTCTCCAGCTTCTAAGAGTGACACCCCTCAAGCTTTTAAGAGTATGGCTGACAAGGGGAGAAGTAAATTGGTACTGAAGAGGATGGGGAGGTGTGGCAGGGAAGAGACAGAGGCAGGCAGGAAACCACTGGAAGCCTGGCGGGTGCAGGAGAGTGTGGGAGAGGTTTGCACCCACATCTTCTGGGCACCCAGCCCAGGCCTGACGATAGCCAAGACTGCCATGGGCAGGGGGTGGGGGAGGTCTGCTTTCCTCTTCTCACCGTGTGTCTGCCTGCCCCAGGAGGAAGAATGGAAAAAGATGCATTTACCGATTGCTTCCAAACATTAACCCCTCTCTCCCACCCTCTCAAATAAGCACACCCCACCCCATCCCCTTGTCACCCTGCTTCCCCAACAAACATTGGCTTCACTTTGTCTTACTTTCCCGGGACTGGGGGCAACAGTTGCGTGCACAGAGAAGAACTTGGTAAGTCCTCAGAATTCCTTTGGGAGGTTGGTGTGTTTTGTGATCTGGAGCTACTGTTATATCACATTAGAGGTTAAACTTGCTCCTGTTGGTATCTTTAAAATCAATGGCAATACATAAAGATTTTATCCAAATCAAGGCATGTATCTGCAGGTGCTAAGAATTCATGCAGGAGAGATCCATTCGCAGTGCATGAACAGCAGAAAAGGGGCAGAGAGGAGGCCAGAGCCTGAGATCAGATGCTAGGACCCAGCATGGACACAGAGGTCCTTGGCGTTTTGTCTGACACCTGCCAATTGGGGGCCTTGGAACTGCAGCCGAGGAAAGCAAGCATTAAGGAGGCTGGGCATGGTCGCCTGTTCATCCATATCTCAGCCACATTCTGGGCAGGTGAGACACTCATGTTTCTTGAGGACATCCAAAGGAGTGAGATAATCTGAATGGAAAGCCTAAATGGGGGCGAGAGAATTCCAAAGGATAGTGCTTCCTCTTTCCCAACAGAAGGTGGGATATGTAGCTCTCCGATCTGAAGCCAGAAGGGTGGGGTAAACCTCCTACAATTTCAGTTTTTATGAATCTTATTACTATCAGTGATGTTGTAAATGATTAATAGGGCATTTGAAATGGAGGCTTGTCCAGTGGAGATGAGGAAGGAAGGAAGGAAGAAAGGGAGGGAGGGAGGGAGGGAGGGAAGGAGGAAGATTAGTATTTATTGAGCGCTGACATATCAGGCGCTCTGCTGGGAGCTTTCACACACCTTATCTCTGTAGTTTAACCTAGGCAGCTGCAGTCTAAGGGTAACTCCTTGCCTCCCACAGCTTCTCCCTGTTTACCTTTCCTCCATCTGGGCCTTTGGAACTCAGGTCCACATTCCCTCTGAGTTTCTATCCCCAGGGGCTGTCTTGGAGTCGTTGCGTCAAGGAAACAGTTTACAGGGCCTCCTGGCTGTCACTGACTCAAGACTCCAAGCCAGGAATGGAGCAGACAGTCAGCTGGAGACTTGCGTAACAGGCTTGGAGGGGGAGGAGGGGGAGGAAGAGGGAGGGACGAGGGGACTCAACACTGCTCTTCATCTTCCCCAATCAGCACAGAAACCCTTGCCCTTGACAGGCGCTCTGGGAAGGATACTGGACTGGAGTCACAGCCTATGTCCATTCTCTCCTCTCCTGCTGCTGATTGGGAGGCTGGGGCTTACTCCTCACTCACTCTTCCTCTCAAGGCTTCAATTCCTCCTTGGTGGGAGCTCAGGGGCTATTTCTCAAGGCCTGGAACAATTCTGACCTTCCAGAATCGAACTTGCAGTAGAATGTAAGCTCCATGAGGCAGGGACTTTGCCTGTTTTGTGCACAGTTGTGCTGGAACAGTGCCTGGTGCATAGTAGACCCTCGAAAAATATTTGTTGAATGAGTCTCCCATCCTTTCTTCCCTCAGAGAGACATCCTTTCCCAGGAAGCCCACACCTCTCTGCCCCTGCACTTGCTCCTGGCAGCAGTGTGTGCAGCACATGGAGAGATGCAGGTTCTGGATGTTCTCACACAGCTTCCTTGGGGTCCTGGCTTCCCAGCAGGCTCAGTACCCTGCTGTGGAAATACCAGACCATCCCTTCCTCTGGTGGAGCAAAGCACAGTGGAGGACAGGGTTCTTCTTGGCAAACTCCAAACACGGCCACTCGAGGCTTGCCACTGCAGAGTAAATTATTACAAACAGGTGTTTCCTCTCAACCCCACAAACTCTTTAGAGATGGCTGGGCTGGGGTGGAGGGAA